AATTAATTAATTAATTAATTAATATAGATAGGGACAATAAATTAGTTTAAAATAAAATATCTACTATTTTGCATCATTAACAAAATTTAGTAAACCGTTATTTAGTATTCTTAAAACTACATAAACACCACAAATACGAATGTTAATTAATTCACAATATTTACACGAATCTTGTATCTACTATTAGTTTTATTAATTATGATCTGCAATCTGCTGCTTCTTATGCGCCACTACGAGGTATGAGCTCTGGTTTCTTTTATTGATGCACCGATAGTCCTAATTCGAGAACGGGATATTTGCTCCTTGCTTGACTAGTTGTTTCTCGAGTTATTTGTCTTGATCTTAATCACACACAAGCATCCTGTTTTTGATATTTGTCTTGGTTTTTAAGACAATATAAGACAACATCCGGAATTGCTTAATAAAAAGAACAAAATACATTTAATCAATAACTTCAATATTACCTTCAAAATGGTATCTATGTAAGTGATGCTGCACACTTATCTTACCTATCCATTTGGAATAATCTCTGGAAGTTTTTCCTTGTGTTACGGTTGGAGTCGGAGTTTTTTCCTAAGTTGCATCAATGGGTACAAATCTCGCTTTCAGATGCCCTATCAACATTGGAAGTAAAAAAATGTCGTTTGGGGCAATATCCGGGTAGTAGGATGATCGAAGATGTGAATTCGATTCATTCAATAAACGTCCAGGTGTGCTCGAGTATCTACCCTAATCCTTAGATATTGCCCCAGTCGGGTATCTGAAAGGGAGAGATTTACGTCCCTTAACACAATCCAGGAAAAATTCAGGTTTACTTCCAGAGGGGCAATCATACAGGTTCAGATAGATACTGCTTGCAAGGCCTACTGATGTTATACATAGATTAAATGTTTTACTTTAAATTTTTATTAAAATTTTGGCTCGTATCTCATGCAATATCTTAAAATCACTTACATACCTAATCTTGTATAATAAATGAGCTGCTTTGCTTGATAATAATTATTTAATAATGCACTGTAATATTTGCACTATTAGATCAATTTCAAAATTGTAGTAATGAAAAATGTCAATTGTACAATAGTTTTTGTACTTTATTCTTTTGTAAACCAATGAGGACATAATCGGTTATGCACTCCCGTAAATTCAAGTGATCTATTAGTGCAAATAAAAGCGTATCTAACGATGTTAATTATACTGTAAATACAAGGCATTAATGACGCTAAAAGTACTTACAATATACAATGCACAATAATGTAAAATTAATACCTGTTACTGTAACATCAAATGAAACTGAATGCAAGCACAGGCTTCCACGATTATTGCTGTATTTTTATATCACATTCTAGTCAACATTTTTTGAACTTGCTATAAAAAAAAACTAAAACAACTAGGAAAAGAAACTACACTTTATTTCAACTGCAAAGTATATAAATTTTCAATAACATGATTTTTTCCATCATATGTTTTATAAAAGAATATATACGAAGTTGTTGTTTTAAAAGATCCATTAGATACATCCCCAGAAATTTAATTTGTCCTTGTAGTTCTCATGATTTTCAATCATCTAACAGTGCAATAACATTGTCAGGCAATAAAACTAGTTTTACATAGGATTTCGTAAATGTAGCGCTGGGTGACTAATGATATTAATTTTATGATGTTTCATTTTATTTATGATTCTGAATTTTATTTGCAAAGTTTTTGTCGGAATGTCATCGTAAATTTGTTTTGTAATGTTGAAGGATGTCTAAACCTTATTCTTTTGCACCTTGAAAATATCATATTACAGTAAGAACGGAACAAAAAATTGTATTCCTCTTCATTAAATGTAAAACCCGACCCACTTTGGTTAGTAATTTGATATCAACTTAAAAATTTTTTAAGTGTTGTTTGTAAGTGTGATGAAATGCCACAAATATGGTGTAGTTTCAAATTTCTAGTACATTAAAAGGAAAATTATAAGCAAAACGTATAAAAAATATTTCTAATCTAAAGTCTATACAATGTACAGAAAGAGGATGATAGGTAGAATACAAATGGACGAATGTTAATCGTATCTCATATCAAAGGATCAATTTATTAATGTCCACTTTGATGTGTAATTGGTACGCCAAAGTATAGACTCAAATAATGAAGGCAGATGTCAACAGTATTATTTGAAAAAATTGGACCTTTGAATCCATAGACACAGGGGTTTTATGGGTAAGAAGCTGTTATATCAAAAAACCCTTAAAAAAGTGTTTCATGCCAAAAGTTCATTAATTGACGTCTATACACACATTACTATGAGGAAACTGAGGAAACCAACTTAACTTGGTGCCCCTTGTTTATATTCAATTATAAAATTATCAATTTGGGTACATATTGAGAATTGAGAAGAGCATTATTTTTGGATCGATTTAATGTGGTATAATGTGAGATACAGTTAGAACTCAACGAGTTATCCGACACTAAAGTCACATATTTATTCTGTCTATAACCTTCTGTATATCAAGTAATAAAATTGCTTGCTTTATTTAGTTTTAGTATTGTAAGAGTCGTGTGTTTCTTATTTTAAATGTTTGTATGATGCACATGCACGTATGCATATACTAACAAATACCTAATTAAGCCACTTTTTAATTTTGGCATTAAATACTTGCCTACTTGACATTTAAAGACCTACGTCAGTAGACTGATTTAAAATAAACCAAATTCTTGGAAATAGTTTACACAAAAATGAGTTCTCTTTTCCCTAGAAAGTTTAAAGAAACATTTATTTGAATAATGTACGGTTACATATGTACCCAAACAATTTGGTGAAATATTGAACCAATTTGGTTTTACATACTTTTTGGAATCCTAACTAATAATACATATAAAAATGCGGTATATAGAATAGGGTACTTTTTATACAAAAAAAAAAGATAGTGTTCCTGAGGGATAGAAGTTTTTCTTTTTCATGTATCAAATTATTGTATTTTCAATGATCTTTGACAAATATCTACGACATCATAGTGAGCGAAGCCGCGGGTAAAAGCTTCTAGTTTATATTAACTTCCTTAAAGTAACGTGAAATATTTCCAAGAAAATCATTTGGTTATTCTCATTAAAACTGACAAGAGTAATTGTTCATTTTCACCAGGCTCTGTCTAATTGTAATATAACTTATTAAGAAAATAGTTACCTAATGAAACTGTTCTATTATTAAACATGCATTTAGCGTAAAAACAAAATCGATTTGAGGACAGTTTTGAGAAATGAAAATAAAAGCAAAGATATAAAATTTCTGTTCTTTTATACTAAAATTTCTGGAAATTTATAAAAATTGTATTCTATTTGCAATATTGAAAGCTCAGGAGCAAAATTGATTAAATTGAAACAGCAGAATAATGTAGAACATTTCAAATAGACCTTGTCAATTATCATTAGAATTCTAAAAATTAAAAAAAAATACAATTTTATTTTATTGTACGGAATACCAAATGACCATGCACCTTATCATTGTTGGAAGCACTTACCACCATTAACAAACCATTCATGGTATATATATATCTATGTATCTAACTTGGAAAATGTTCACTCATCTCTAGAAATAACAACATTTAGTCCAAAAGAAACGGATGTAACAGGAACTAATGGTACACAAGAATTTAGAAATGAAACCCAAGAAACCCCATCAAGACCTCCTTCAAAATGTCGTGCTGACGATGTCGTCCGATGTGGTGACACTTCCCATTACATTTGTGCTGACCAAGAATGCGATGGATATCCAGATTGTCCAGACGGAGAAGATGAGAAAAATTGCCCCGCTGGTACTACTTATATACATACATAAATCATTTTGGTGTTGGTTTATATTATATACCTACTAACTTATCGCTTATGGTGGAAGGAGATCGACTATGTTTTCGTCAAATCATTTTCTCTTTTTCGAAATATTGCATTTCATATTATAGAATTTCCATTCAAACTGAAGTTATTCCCGTAGGAATGTGATGTTAAGCTTGAAGGGTTAGGTAGTGTGTAGTTCTTTCAAGTAAAATTTGATAAACGAATACGAATAAACGCAAAAACAAAATTTATATGCGTTAGATAATAATTAAATATTTCGACGATGTATTGCGTTTATCAAATTTTATTTATTAACGAATGTCATAGCGAAAGAGGCTTTTCTAATGATACATTGAGTATTTTGGGAACAATCACAAAAATTGTTCTTTGCATTTGTATTTGTCTTTGTCTGTTGAAATATTATAAGCCAAACAATATTCTTGTTAGAATGATTTTAAACGGTTTTGTACTAACACTTAAATTTAGTGAAAATGAAATATTAATGTATGTAAATTTCAGCATATCTATTAATTAAACTTGACGATCCTTTCGCCAAACTTTGGTTTCAACTTCTGATGAAATCAAAATTTAGGAAAACGATCGTCAAGTTTAATTAATAAATCTGTTGAAATCTACATTAGTATTCCATTTTTTCATAGCGATATACTCTAGTCTATATAAGTAGACATCTTTAAATTAGTATATTATGGTGGGTGT